TGATTATATTATTACATTTGTATCTATCTACTTCAAATACAAATCAATGAAAAAAATATTTAAATATATATGATAATATTTTATATATAATTGAATTTCATTCTTTTTCGTTTCATTTATAATGATATGTACTGATAGCACATATATTGAACTAATAAATAATTTTTATTTTTACGAGAAATAAGTTCTTTTGATGATATTCGTTATTGTACTATATACTATTAGATTTTTTTACTTATAAAAACTGCCTATTAAAATGTGTGTATTAGAAAAAATGATAAGTATATTAGAAATATTCTAGAAATATATCTAACCTTAAGAACCTCCAAAATAAATAATTAGTTTTATTTTTATTTATATTTATAATGAGATATAAGATTAATTTTGTATCAGATTAAAATTAAAAACAAAATAATAATAATTCAACAAATAATAAAAATTATTTAAGAAATATTTTAATTGAAAGTTTATTTTAAAACATTTGTAGTAAATTTAGGAAATGCATAACTCGCTTATTTATTTCATTTCTTATAGCATCTGTTTGCTTTTTAATTTATACGAAGAAAACGTTATAAATTGCTACTCTTAAATAAAATATGTATCGCATCTGATTGAAAAAAAAATATAAGTTTTTGATCTATCGCGAATAATTATTTATTTCAATAATCAAATAATATAAAGAAAATAATCAATAGACAAATAATCTAATTATATATGATAAGCATAATACAAAAGAATTCGTTCTTCGTAAGAATTAAAATTCTAATAAGCAGGTTAAAAAATGTATGCAAATATTATGTAAATCGCTTTTATAATATTAATTTCTTATTTGTTTTCATATGCATGGGACTGTATTAATTTCTGATTTGGACTTTATACTGTTTTTTTATATTAGGCTTTTTTTCCACAGTAAATTTTTTCACAGTAAAAAGTTTATGATAACCTCTGAGATAATAAATCGCTTTAAACAATTACTGAAGCCTGTGAAATGTTATTTATTCGTTGAGTAATCTAAGAAAAAATAACATGAAGACATTACATTTAATCTTAAATGTTGAAGGAATTTAAACAAAATTCCTGGTTTCTTAATAAAACGGTAACCTCTTATTAATAACAATTATCTACAATTAGAACCGGAAATTAAGTGGAACTTATTACATGTAAATTCATCATTTGAATTGTAAATGCATGGAGCCTATATAGCTCTGTTTGCAAATGTTTACTCTGACGCAAAAATAAAATTTCCATTGATTAAAAAGGATAAACAGATTATCAGTACACCATCTGTCAGAAAAATAATGAACTTCAACAAAGATATTCATTATGTAATTCTTACAAATGTCTCTTAGTTAGAACAGTAACTTTTAAACTGTTTCTATTTTCAGTATTCTTACTAATTACTTATTTTTTGTATTGTTTTTAAAACGAATCATCCTTTCATTGTAAATATTGTACCCACATTTATAACACGGCGATCATCCTTTTTGTATATAGGCTCCATGGTTATAAATTTCAAAGCACTTGTAGTAGCGATACTAGCAAACCTATCGGCAATTTAGTTAATGAAAATCTATGAAACATTTGTATATGTGGTTACTTAAGTTCTTTTTTAAGCAAGTACAACCTTATTAGTGATTATTTATAATTATATTTATCAAATTTTGGATATTGTTTTGTAATAAGAATAAAAATATATAATGTTGACACAAAAAATATACCATAATGGAATACGGTATATACCAACATGTATTTATATGTCCAAAAGAACTATTAAAAATATTGAGGATATAGATGTATATGAAGTTAAAAAAAAATTATCTGAACAAAATAAAAAATTAAAACAAAGGCCACCATTTTTTAAAAATCTATTTCTTGGTAAATTTGATTATGAATTTATGGCTTTTCCTGAACCACAATCAGACGATAGATACAACCAGTTTTTCGAATGGATAAAACCAATTGAAAATTATATGTCTTCTGTAAACAGAAATGATTTATCTAAAAAAGAAGCATTTCAAGCATTGAAAGAACTTGATGTCTTACGAGCAAGAATAAATTCGAAGTATGGTGGATTAGATATGTCTGAAGCAGAAACTGTTAAAGTATTGGAAATTTTAGGATCTATACCTTGGCTAGCTTCATGCTTTGTTAAGAATAATCTCCTGCCTATTGACTTAATTTCTAAATTTGGTAATGAAAAGCAAAAAGAATATTATTTGCCTAAAATAGGAAATGGAGAATTATTACCTACAGTTTGTATTACCGAAATTTTAACTGGTCCAAATATGAAAAACATTGAAACCGAAGCAATACCTTCAAATTGTGGTAAATATTGGACGATAAATGGCAGGAAAGAATTTATTACTAATGGAGTAGATTCTAATCTCTTTTTAGTTGTTGCTCGATCTGAAGAGAAACATCTCTCAATGCATCACTCGCTATCTACTTTTATAGTAGAAAGTAAGCATGGAGGTATTACTTGTAGTAATGTTATTAATACAGTAGGTCAACCGGAAGTACATCTTTGTACGGTTGACTTTAAAGATACATGTATTCCTGAGGAAAATTTGCTAAGTGAATTGTTTAATGGACATTCTGTTTTATTGGATGTATATGCCCCTGGAAACAATAGGGTTGCTGGAGAATCAATTGGTATTTTGCGAAATTTCCTATCCTTATTGAACAAAAATATTTTAGGAAGAAAACATCTTGACAAAAATATGCATGAATTTGAAGCAGTACAAGAAGTTGTCGGACATATATCAAGTCGTTTGTATTGTATGGAAAGTGTCGCATTATTTACTAGTTCAATAAATGATATTTATGAAAATCAAGATTTGGAAATAGAAAAGGCAATAACAGAAACTTATTGTGCTAATGAATGCATAAAACAAATACAAAAAGGATTACAAGTGATTGGAGTTGAAAGTTATTTAAATAATAATCCATACATGCAATTGTATCAGGATGCTTTAGGATTATCTTTACTTGATGGATCTGCTATTGATGAACAAATATACATAGCTTTGTTAGGTTTGCAACATGTTGGAATGAATATTCATGAAGATATACGAGAATCAAGGAATATCTTACAAAATCCTATTTTTATGTTCAAGCAAATGATTTCTCAAAAAAAAGTTAATTTATATTTATTTGAATATGCACATTTATCCCTTAAAGATGCATGTTCTGCAATTGAAGAATGTATTAATATATTAGTAGAAATGTGTATAAAGTTATTAGAAATGTATGGAACAGAAATATCTTCTAAGCATATACTTTTACAAAAATTGGCTGACATTGCAATTCAGTTATATGTATCAATTGCTGTAGTATCGCGTGCTTCTAGAAGTTATTGTACAGGAATGAGGAATACTGACCAAGAACGATATATTGCTATGTATGTTGCTCAACAGATGCATAAATCAATACAAATATTACAAGATGATATATTTAATTGTTTAAATTATGCTGACAGAGCATTACACACAGTATCTACGTCTGCATTTGAACATAAAGGTTATATGTGTGAACATCCTTTGAAAAGAAACATTTAATTATATAAAAAAAAGTGTATCCAATATAGTAGTACATTTATTTACTATTAGAAACTTATTATCTAAACAATACGACCCACATATATTATCCTTATGTTGTAATGTTTGAACATTTTATTTTCAGATAATTAACATATTCTAGAATTATTATAATCTATAAAACAGCGACTAACTTGATAGTTGTGTTATGTTGTATTATGTAAAACATAATTTTATTTAGACTAATTTCATTGTGACGAGATTGCTGTATGTTAAAATCTATTGTTAATTACTTCATCAAAAATTAAATATCAAAAATATTGAGAACATAGGCTTCTTTTGATAATGGGATTTATAGTTCATGATAGAATCAAATATATAAGAATAAATATACTAATAATTACGTTCAGATAAACTCTTACATAATTGTATAAAAATGTATTGTTTAGAAATAAGTATTGCTTTAAATATAAGGATACATTAATTATTTAAAATAATTTGTAAAAATAAACCGTAAAATAAAAATCATTTAAAATCAATATTACTATAGAATCAATTCTATATTATGAATACTAAAAGCAATGTAACATGTGATACGTATATTCTAAAAAGTTTCAAGAAATTAAAGAGTTGATGTTTATTTTTGTTTAACTTTTTCTATTTACATATCAACTACAATGTACATTTATATTTTTACACTAAAATTAAACATTAAAATGCTTAATTCTTTTTATCTTTACAGCGTACTATATATTTTATTAAAGTTTTTATTTATTTTAGTTAATTAACAATCACTTAAAATTATTTGAGTAATTGAATCCTACTATCGTTGCTCATAATTAAAGAATTTATTTAAATTCATTATCGGAAATAATCTTTTATGAATTTTATATACTTGATTTTGTATTTTATATTCCAATTGTTTCGAATTATGTATATTTAATATTATTTATTAGGTTTTTAGTATTATATAGTATATAATATATTAGGAGATATTAAGCATGGTAATTAAGTGAAATTAAATGGTCACTTATATAAAAGAATGTTGCCAAAATATTTTAGTTTCATGTGTTAAATTATTGAAAATGAAAATTGAAAACATATCAAAAGTCGAATAACTAAAAAAAATTGTGTTATTACAACCAATTCATTAATTCGTCATAGTTAATGTTGTCTTTAGTAAGAACAGAGTCAAACTTATTTTATCATAAAAAATATAATAAATAAATTGTACAAAAAATTACATAAAAATATAATAAATAGTTAAGTACACAACTCTTTTGTGTAGTTAGGTCAATAGACATTTACATAAGTTTTATAAATTACATAATTACGTAATTTTTATAATGTTTCCGTTAGCTTTTTCAAAATTAATTAAAATGCATATTTGTCATGATTTTCAACAGATTTGCTTTGTATTACAGACATTTCAAACTATGGACGGTATTTATCTATAGAAATCAAATAACTATATTTTTACCAAAATTATGTCTCTATAGTATCTTATAGAATCGATTAAAACAATATAATCACTATAATCTTTCTGCTTGAACAATAATATGCTCTTCTCTGTATGAATCAGTTGAGGACCAGCAACTTTTTAAACATGTGAATATCAGAACTGTACCAAATTCAATTTGGAAATTTTCTTCACTTTGCGGTTGCAATATTAGCTTTGGTATAAGTGTTGGCAAAACTTGTAATTCAAAAATCATTTCTGCTCCACAATGTCTACATTTTCCAACACAACCGCTCATAGGATATAATAGTATAGGTGCAGATTTATCTCTGCAATATCTATCAAAAATAAGAAGATAAAATAAGATAACATTTATTTTATATGTATAAAGAAAATGAACAGTCTTTAAGATAAGTAAAGTTTCTGTACCTTAGTAACTGTCCAGGATTATCTTGTATGCGAGTGACAAAATTATGAAACATTTCATCTCCATGCAATGGAATGCTTTTTTCATACTTTTCGGTATCTGTTCCAGCATTTTTAGAATCATTAGATTCTGGAACAAATGTTGGCGATAAATCTGGATTGGTATGTTGATATTCTAAAAGTAACTCTCGAACATGTTGTGGTACATCAATATTGGAAGCTTCTTCGTCAACAGAAATAAAAATTTCAGTAAAAAAGTATTTCTCTTCTGTATTTAATTCAATCTGTATTGGGAATGGTGTTACTTCATGTAACAAACTGACCAAATCACATTGTGGTTGCGTAGGGGTATCAATGCAAACAACTTCACTTTCTTCTCCTTCTATTTCTGCAGAAGCTTGAGGAGAATCTACTTTTCCTACAGCTCCTCCAATTGGAGATTCTATACTTGCAGGGCTAAATAATATGAATGATATTGATTAAAATATAGATGTATATGTGTTAGGTAATTTAATGTGTAATATAATAAAATATAAATATATAAAATAAAGAAAAATTATTTTCACAAACCTATTCGCATTTGGATCATCTACTTGCAATACAGCAAAATCATCTACAAAATCTTTTTCGATAGCAGACTGCATGGAATGGTTAAAATCAATAGGAACATTTGATAGCATGTTATTTCCATTATGTTCACAAGAATTATCATTTAAGTTATCGCCCCAGTCATCTGCTCCTGCCAACCAAGTTTTTGTAAGTAATACACTTGTGCCATCTTCGTCAGATGGATGCGTTTTACTTTCGTTTTCCAAGGACTGAATTCTCAAACAAGTCCAACTTTCATTGTGATTCCAACAATTTGGATTGATGCATGCAAATATATAAAGTGTGCGATGGTATTTAGAATTTTCTAATGGAGCATACAATTGTAGAGCCAAGAGTTGGTGCAAGCCGCAAAGTCTACACTGTGGTGACGACAGTGTGTTCTTTCCATGCCAGTCCTATCCATAGAAATATTATACATAAGTAAGTGTTAATTCATTAAATATGATTGGAAAAATTATACTAAATATTAGTATGTATTTTCTAAGGATATACTTCAACAAATAATATATAAAAAATAATAAAAAATATTAAATTTTATCTATTTACAAAACAAATTGTTTACAAAATTTGTGCAAAAAATATAACATAAATTAATAGAAAATTGTATTAAATAGTTATATTATTTTATCACCCACTATACAAATAATATTATACTAACTATAAACATGCAGTTACGTGGACATTTATTATTATCTAATTTTTAATTTACTAATCTATATATTTCAAAAGCAAGAAGGTAAAATCAAATATTTATGCAGAATTCTTTTTTTTGGTATACTTACTGGAAATCCACCAATTTTATTAGTTGTAAAATTAATGAGATTACGATGCTTATCAGTTACATAGTCATCTTCGTAACCAAGATATACCTTCGTGCGATTATTACGAGCCATTAAATATGATTTAAATAATATTTCATTGGAAGACAATCGACAATAAATAACACTGATTTTTCTCAATACAGCTATATCAATGCAGCTGATATGCACATAATTTTAGTACGACGCGTGCGCTTTTACCGGTTTCTCCTTTAATCGATTTTTGAATCTTTCACAAATGATAAAACATATTACAGATTTCTTCACTCATAGTTCGAAGATAAACTCTTGCGGTGGCGCTACTATAGCTTTTTATTTTTATATTATTTTTTATGTTGGTATTTATTGCTCGTTCATTGGTCGTGTAAAATTCATAAACCAATAGATATGTTACAAATAATAACTTTTTATTATTGCAATTTATAATTAGATAAGAAATAAATATGAATGAAATTATTTTGTTTATTAATATACTTAATTCTTTTTATTAAAAATATGTATCAATATGAGAATATCTTTATTTTGTAATCATACAATTTCAAGGATAAACATCGTAGTAAATACTACATATGGAATCATATTATGTACCGTAATATTGGCAGCATTGTCATGTATTAATAATCGTGCGAAATTGTGATGGGGGATCAGTCTCGTGGTATCCACCGGTGAATTTGGAAGAGTTATATTGTATAAAGATATTTATGATTTTGTTGTGTGATATTAAAATTAGAAAAAGACAAGATGTTTATAATATTTCGTACACTTCTCGTGCTTATTCATCTTTTATACAGCTTAAGGTTAATCATTTATAATAGCTGTTTAATTATCCATCGAAAGTGTATAGGATATTGGTATAATAAAAATTCAAAGATAGACATTGAAATGCTTGTAAATAGTACTAATAATTTAAGAAAACTGCCAGAGCATGTGGTTATTTTGGGAGAAAAGAAAGATTGCATCAAAGATTCCATACAAATAATTGTTTGGTGTATTACATTGGGTATACCTTTTATCAGTTTTTATGGTCGAAAAGGTAATATTTTACAATAATTATATATGATGTTTAAGTTTAAGTCGTTAGATTAAGAGTCATCAGTACTGTCAATTTATTTTATCTCTAATAGTAAAATAAATTTTATAAGAATAATAAGTATGCACTATTTCAAATATATTTCACAAGGTTTTTCATATTACCTGAATAGATTAAGAGCTATTAGTACTGTCAAGTTATTTTATGTTTAATAGTAAGACGATAAGTTTTATAACTAATAATTATGAATAATAAAAATAATATATATGAGTGTTTTTTGGATTATCAATTATATAACATAGTCATTGTAATGATACTTAAAATGAAATGTTACTCTTACATTTATATATTTGTTTCTTCTACAATTTTATATAGATTTCTTATCACAACATAAGAGCGAAATAAAACAAGAGTTTGCTGTTAGGAGACCAGAATTAATGGAATACATTAATTGGAGTCAGTTTCATATTCTACACACAAAAAATGGAATTACAGGTATACAGTATAATTATTTATACATTTATTATATATATATATATATATAAAGAAGATTTTTTATAGAATTATGTTGAAATATATAAATAAGTATGATGTTATTAAAAGAATGCGTATAAAAAAAAAGATTTGAAGGATATCTTGTCTGGCAGAGAGTTTATTCGCTTCTAAAGTATATTTGCTATTATTATATATTAAAACGGGGTATGTGGTGGTTACGTTAAAGTCAAAATATACTTTTTTTTTTATGTAAACTTTATAATTGTTTGTTTGGCCATCTCTTTAATTCTTTTAATACTTTTCTTTAATCATATATTGCTCAATATAATAAAATAATAGTTAATCGCATGTTAAGAAGTATTTTTTAAAAATAAATATTATCAATGAGTTTTTAAAAGTATTCCTTTACATGGAAGTTGACACCACTTCTGAAGAGGGCCAATCCTTTTGCAAAATTGATGTATTCAAGAAGGTTCGTTGTGCCTAATTTAAGTAAAAATTGATTGTAAAAGCGATGAAATTTAAATGAATCTAAATGAAACAGTAATAATAAATATAAATTTCTTACATGCTATTCTTTTTATTTGATTATAATAATATTTAATGTATATATTTCTAGGTTCTAATACTGTAATTAGAATATTATTACCAAGTAAGAACACTGGGAAAAACGGAATAGTATTATTAACGCAGCATTTAGCAGAGGCTGTAATATCAAAAAATTTAAAAATAGAAGAAATAAATGAAAAGTTTATTTCGGAAAAAATGATGTTAAAAGGGATTCCTGATCCTGATTTGGCTTTAATACATGGACATGTTATTTCTACGTATGGCTTTCTTCCATGGCATATCAGAACAACAGAATTCGTGTACATATAATTTCTATTAAATTTCTATTAAATATTGATTAAATTACTTAAACAGTTTGATATATAGATACTTTTATATTTTTAGTACATTACCTGAATGTCATGATGTATCAGTAAAGGACTTCATTTGGATACTAAAAAAATATAGTAAGTGTGAACAACGACACGGTAAATAATATAATAATTTATTAATAATTTATCTATATATATATATATATATATAGATATATATATATTTGTATAAAAAAAAGACAATTTATTAAATCTTCGATAAAGACTGAGTGAGAAGAATACAAGAGGAATTGTTTTCTAATAATCAATGACTTTTTAGCACGAAGTGACAATATTTTTGTCATTATTTAATTATATTGTGTAATTAAGAATTTTCTATCTATTTAAAATAAATTGATTGTTATTCCTATATTAAAATATTAAAGAGAATATTAGATTTCAAGAGAAAAATTATTGTATTTATCAATTATACAATTTTTGAAGTCTTATTGTTTTCTAATGTACATATATGTAAGTGTAATTATATAGAAATGTATTAATATTCTTAAGTAAATGATAAAAATGAATGACATTTATGTTAATTGCGTTAAAATAGAACAGTAAGAGAGATAGAAATAATAACGACAATTATATGTTAATTCGTTATATTATTGTTGCATTATATATTCTTTTTTTTTTATTATCTTTCTTTTTTGATTAATATAGAAAAATATATGGGAAAAATGAATTTATAATTTACATATTTGATGTAGATGAATTTTTAAAATATGACATCTCTACTGTTTTCAACGATTCGTCGTCTTTCGTGTAACAATTCTAAAAATTTAGCTCTTGGACTTTCAGGACGATATCGCCACCTTTCCCGAGAATAAGGTTTAGTATCGGTAATAGTAGTAGATCGATGGAATATTCTTGAATTAACAAAATTAGGTGTTTCATTTTTGGTACATTTTAATAATGTATTAGATATTAATCTTGGAAATTCATTATCCCCGAATGATTTTTCTAAATTTTCGTAATACTTTATGGGTTTCATTAAAATACTACTCGATAATTCTATATTTTCATCTTCCGGTCTTGCGATCGAATCATCGAGAGGTACGTTTATTGTTCTATCGTCATAAAAATGATAAAGTTTGCAAGTACTTTTTTGAAATTGTTTTTCTTTTCGATAAAAAATACTTTTCGTACGACAATGGCAAGATGATGGATTCATTAAACGATTAGAATGTTTCCTTTCAATTTTACTTTTTATGCCAAACATTTCTTCGTTACTCGTATCGTAAAAATCATCATAGATCTTTAATTGATCATATGGATCTTCAATCAATTTCGGCATGAAAGAATTTTTAAGAGAAATTCTGTTCGAAGATACGAAATTTTCTAACGTTTCCGAACTAATTGATTCTTTTCCCTGTAAATTTGTATCTCTTCGAATTAAATTAGAAGAGATGTTAGAATTTTTACTAGAATCTATACTAGAGCTCGCTAAACCTAATTTAGCGCCAGTAGATTCAACTACGATACCATATTTTTCGCGTAAATACTCGTTGTGTTTATTTGTTTTTTCTATACAATTTTCTAATCTTTCGATACCTTCTAAACATTTTTTAAACGATTCTGTTGGTATTACTATATCGTTTTCTTCTAATACTTCATTACTATTATCAATAGCTTTGTTATCTTTTAATGGTGTATTTTTGTGTTCATTTTGGGAATGAGGATAACATCGTTGATAATTTCCTCGTTTTTTTTCTTGTCTTTGATTGTTTCCACAAATATTTGCCGTATTTATACATTCGTTGAGAGAATTCATATTACGCATAAAAATAGTTGCCTCATTAATGTATTCTTGTAATATTTTTCTTTTCAATTTTACAACACAATCCTCCTCTTTGTTAACTTCTTCACCGCTGTCAGAATCATTACAACTATTTTCAACAGGAATTTCATTAAATATCTTAGTATTATCATTATTATTATTATTATTATTATTATTTGAAATTTTGACAAAATTAGACGAATTCTTTTTCTCTTGCATATTTAATTGCATTCTATCTTGGACATTATCAAGTTCACTATTACTTTCATTTTCAAATAAATCCGAAGTTTTATCTTTATTTTTTAATAATGCTCTGCTATCCGTATAAATATCCAATAAATAATTCTGAGAATCACCGTTGTTAGGATTACATACGTGAGTTTTATTTTTAACAACAGATTTGTACAAACTCTTAGTTTGACTCAATGAATTGATTACTTTTGGTTTATCATGATTATGACATTCTTTCGAACTTTTGTTATCCATAAAGGTGACTTTTTTCTTGTAAGAATTTTTAACAAAATTCGATGAGTTTTCTTCCAAATTAGTTCGAGCTTCTTGCAAATTATCGACGTTTATTGAATTTTGACCTAAAATCAATGATTTATAATCATGAACAGAGATGGAAGATCCGTCAATCGGTTCGGAGGGTATTTTCTTTGGAAATTCAACTTGATCCTCGTCAAAATGATTAGCGAGTGAGAGTTCGACATTATTGTCGCACGAATTTCCTAACAAAGTTAAATTTTCTTTTTTCGTTTGAGCTATTACGTCGGGTGGACAAATATTTTCAAAGGTTTCATTTTCTTCGTTAGTTTCCGTATTGATATTATTAGAATTAGAGATTATATTTTCTTCGTTATAATCAAGACTGTCGTCAGAAAAATTATAATCATGTTCAAGTAATCTCTTGGAATCTGTTATTCTAGCGATCAAAGATGGTGATTTTAAATCTGTAACTTCGGTGTTATTATTGGAAAGAAAAATGTTAGAATTAATATTAGGTTCTTCGTAAGTTTTATTCAAATTCGCAGTGCTAACGATCGCGGCACAGTCATTATTTAAAGAATCATTCCATGCAAATGTCAACCCATTAACTGATAATACATTTCTCGGATGTTGCCAGGAGGAGGATGTCGAAGGAAACGAGATCATCCAATTTTTCCAAACGTCTGTAGCTAATCTATTGTTATTATATTTTTTTGAAATAAACGTTTCCCTAATGCTTTTATTTTGGGTAAATGATTGACCACTTTGGAGTGCATAAATTTGTCTCTTGTTCATGTCGGTAGCAGATTCTTTTGTGTCTGGAATGAAGGAAGTACCCAAAGAATTTGTAAAAGTAACTGATTTTGTATTTTTAGATTTATTCAATGTATCTTCCGATTGAGCACGTATCTTCGAATGATTATTTCGAGGATCCTCAAAGATATTTTCGATTCTAAAAGATTTGCTATCCGTTTGACTAACACTTGACTTTGTTGTAAATCCCTTAACGTAACAATCATTACTCTTATCATCCTGTTTGATATTTTTGTTTTCCGTTTGACATTCGTTATCTTTTAAATGAGATATATTCTTTTTATTCGTGATATCTGTCTTATTTAAACTGTTGTCCATTATAACAATATTGGATTCTAACAAATTCGAGCTTTCAATAGTTATATTAATTGTATCAGGTAAACACATGGAAATAATATTTCTTTCCGATTTCTGTTGTACAGTCGTTGTTGTAGGATTTGATTCTTCGATAGCATTACAATTTTCTATTAAATATTGCGTTGTCTTTTCTTTTAAAACGGGTTGTTGCAATGGCAATTGCGTTTGAACGACCGAATTGATTGGAACAGGGGCAACAACTACGGTATTTGTTGATTTGTCAAAACGATCAACTTTCTTATCATTAGTTAAACATAATTCAGAAATATCCGTGTTAGACATTTGATTAGCATAAGTTCGCGTATCGTCCAATAAAAATGTTGAATTATTATTTATAAAATTAACACCGTATTCGTAAAAATTAAGATCATTTACCAAACACTCAGCATCCTTAGATTCCATGATTTTATTTTTCAATTTGTCCGTTAACGTTGCCATTTCTTTGACTCTAATGACAGGGGATCTGTTTTCTGTCATTATTTGATAAACGTTATGTTCGTCAGTCAACACACCTACATCTTGACAAACAATTTTGGTCTCATCCGTTAAAGACGACGAATCCTTCATACGAATCGTTTGGTTTTGTTCCGTTTGCGTGTCGACGTTGACACGCCGTCTTTTTGCTAACATTTTCCTTGATATTTCTTGAAGTTTCGTTTTAGTCGTCAAAGCGGCGGAAGTTGTTAATCTGACGTCAGTTCCCTCGGGAGGGGAACGAATACCTGACACCGAAGTTGATGCAGATCCTGTCACAGTTGTCATTTCTTCCACCTGTTTTCTACTTGAATATAATCTTTCTGTAACAGCAGCCACGATTTCTGCTCTTTTTGCTTTTTGTACAGGTGTATGAGCCCTCGTAGACAAACTATGATCCAACGAATCCTTTCTCCTTAATACCTTGTCGTTCGTCAAACTAGAAATCAATATCTGTTCGTCTTTCGAGCTACTCGAACTACTGTCCTTACTGGTTTTCCTTTTTAAACTTTCTAAACTTGGTTTTCTAGCGGTATTTTTGATTTTATTAATAAGACTTATCACCGACGAATTATCCTTAGAATTTTTCTCAAACTCGTTACTATCCGTTCTCTGTAAATGATCACCGCTGTCAGATTTGTTATTATCTTTCCATAAATTCGTATAACTGTCATTTTTACAATCCTCGACTTTTATTTTATCTACAAATTTATTTTCAACGTTGACTTTATCCGATATTGTCGATTGTTTTTCCAAATTTGTATTGGATCTTTCCAAATAAGTTGCTAGATTATTGTGTTTCTTTTGTATTATCTCGACGGAACCGAATTTTTTTGACGTATACAAGTTCGTAGATGTTGTTGTTGGCGTTGCAATATTGATTGAATCTTGTTTACGAAATTTAGACTTTTCCTTTCTTCCCGAACGAATTATTTTCGAAGGAGTATCGTTTATTTCATCGTTCAGATCTAAATTGAAATGATTGTATTCGTCATCGTATTGGTCGTTCGTAGTATTTTTGTTTGTACGATTTACGGAAATCTCATGAAGATTATTATTTCTCATAAAATCCGATTCTATCGGATATTCGTGTATTTCGTCGGAACATATCTCTTCGATTTGTTGCGATCTCTCGTTGAAACTGTTATCTGGTTTTATAAGTACCGCAACAAGAGTTGGAATGTCGACAAAAACGGCCTCGTTAATTTCACCGATGAAATCATTTTCTTCGTTCTCCAATTCCGATACTTCAGCACGATTATAACTGTAACCGGTTAGAGTGTTCGTTGTTTTGTTATCGAGACATTCGTACGAACCAAATTTTCTGATAGATTTTACGGTTGCAGTATCGTGTGTTGCTAGGTTTTCTGTAGAATTTACTCTCCTGACTAAAGTAAGGATTCCACTATTACCACCACCACCACCACCACTACTACTACCACCACCACCACCACCACCACAACCATCACTATTACTATTACTACTTCTATCATCTTCTTTTTTATATTCTATTTGTGGATCAGTTTCGATTTTCTGTTTATTTTCCGGCACGCTACTTTTCGACGAATTATCCTTCTTCTTTTTTCCCGAATCCTTCGTTTCGAATTCATCCTGTAATGTTGTTTTATCTGGCTCGATGTTCTATACAAAAAATAATATATATATAGGATATACAGATAATATGAAAACATTCTTAAAAATTTTGTTAACATATACCTTTTTCAATAACAAAGATTTCAATCTAGTTATTTCGGCCTTTAATTCCCGAATTGTTTTTGCCATGGGATCTTCATTGACCATGGGTTTATTGACCACACTGTGCGCCCTTTGAGCGAATCGCAATGTATGCGCGGTTTCGTTGTAATTTTCACTGGCTGGTGATACGGCTGTGTGAATAATTTTATATTTTTAATATATTTTTATTTTGGTAACACATAGAAAGGTTCTTCTATTCGAACAAAAAAACGATTACGGTAATGAGGTATGTACATAAATGATAAGAGATAAAACAAAAAGTATATTTAACGAAAGTTAACATTTACTTGCGAGCATAATGGTGGTAGCATTTCCACCGAGTGCGTCCTTTAAAAGCCAAGTAAGAGAAGAATCTCGATAAGGTATATACCTTCTATTAGAACTACCACCAGCACCTGAGATTTTCCCTGTTAGAGCCGAAATAACATTTCCCAAGGCTACCAAACTTTTATTTATATTCGCACCTTCCTATGGAAAAAATAAATCTATCGTATTATTACATTCATAAAAATGCATTATATACGATTGTAAATCTTACAAGTGTCTTATCGAATTAATTGTTTATTATTAATATATTTTATTGCAATATAATATACACACATATATAAATGAAATCAATTGAATAAGTTAAATACATTTATTTTTGTTTTACTAATTCGATGAAACGAAGTTTAATCGAATAAAATGATATACAGAGATTTGTTTGAATACTTACGAATTTATCATATTTTATTTCTATTTTTGTAATTATATTTTTGAAACAGGATGAAACTCACTTTTAAACGATGCACACCGTCACACCTTTGAGCGTTTTCGCTACCAGCTAGATCGACCAAATGCAGTTTACTACTGCTGTTATTGGGAAGTGTGACGTCGTTAAGCCTAAATGATGACACGTCATCATATTTTCTATCGGTATTTTCTTTTTTAGTTAATTGTTGTTCTATCGTAGTCGACGTTGACGTTGACGTCGTCGTCGTCGTCGTTGTCGTCGTTGTCGTCGTCGTCGTTGTTGTTGTTGTTGTCTCTGGATTAAGAAGAATTGTGAGCAATGCGTGGCTACGACTACTGTTTGAATTTTGTAACGTGGCTGCTGTTTTTCTTGCTTTGGTACCACTCTCAACGTATGACATTAACGTTTCCAACGTGTCAGCCACGTGATGCGTCAATCCTTTTAATAGAACAATTATTTTCATAATATTAATTTTCATTATGTGTGTTTTATAAGATTTTATATGCACATTTGAATTTTTTAATAATTATATTATACAATAGAATCTCTCTCTTCGATTGTTATTAATTAATATATAATTATTATATATATACAATTAGTTATTTCTCTCAGCCAAAAAGAAAATTATTAATAAATATGTTTAGTAAGAAAATTGGACAGTATAAAGAATTAAAACTTTATTTTGATCAAATTGGACGTTTCGTCATTTTATTGGGACTTCATCAGCAACTGGAAATTTGTTTTATTATGAATTATTATGATCCAATTTAATCAAAATAAAGTTCTAGTTCTTTTATACTGTCCAATTTTCCTGATAAACATATTTATTATATATATTCTTTATGTAAAATATATATTTTTTGTTGATGATAAAATGTAGATCCTATTGTATATTAATAATGAATAGATTTGTTATATACCTTGAACGTAAGGACCTAATCGAGGATGTTCACGAACTTTTAGATTATGGCAACTCGTGGATGGCTTTAAAAGATCCCTCACCCGTTCGTTATAAATTTCTAAATAGCTAAAACAATTAAATACAACAAGATAAAAAAATTAATTATATATTACGAGTTATTATTATTTTATTTTTTTCATTCGCTACAATTAATTCGTAAATTTAATTTTTCACAGCAACGAAGAAGTAAACCTAAATAGCGGTCATTTATATTTCATTAGAAAAAATCTAATAATTATTTTGTTAATTTTTATTATCGATCAAAACTCGTTAGGACGCAAGGTGTGAAAATCATTTATCCGATAGAGCTTACAACTTTTGAAGTAGTTCGCGAAACGAGAGACGAATTCTTAAAGAGGATAAAGAAGAAAAGAATTAAGAAGAAGAAGAAAAAAAGAAAAGAAAAGATGAAGAAGAGATAGAAGCAGGTGTCGGGGGAAAAAAAACTAAAGCAAAACGGCGACGTCGTATAACACGTTAAGTTTTCGTGTCTAACGGTTATTACAATGCTGGGAATAAGAATCGATTTGCAATCTTAACTCTCGGCCGTTATATCGACGACGAACGTGATGGTAATTTGGAAAGAAAAAGAAAATGAAAAAGTAATAGTAATAGTTACATTTTACCCGCGAACTCATCGAACAATCCTAATAGCAGCGTAAAACTACGATCGAAACATGACCTTCGACACGATTCTTACGTTGTTTTTACGTAAAACATAATTCAAGAGATTTTTTTTATTATTATTTTAAACGTTGAAAACTTTTTTTAAATCTCACAAAAATATTAATGGAATAATAGTGTTCTGAGATACTATTCGTATCTAATTTATTCGATTCCGAAAACAAAACAAAAAATCAATGTCGAATTTTACTTTGGACAATTTAGTTTTGACAGTAATCGAATAAATTTGGATACAAGTAAAAATGAGAAGAGATCGTAAGAAACAAAAATTTCGATGTGATAAATATATCATAAATTTATAATATATTCGAACGTGTTGCGTGCATAATATCTTGCACGTTTCTCGAAAGGGCGTGCGAACAAAAGATTCATTGAGTTTTTATCCTAAGAATGCACATGATTATAAACGACCTTATATCATGCTATTGGAAAATAATATTTCATTCGATATATTATTTAGAGTATAGAATATATATATATGTGTGTTGTTAAAATATAATATTATATATTCGAAACACTTTGATTGTTATTTCGTTTGATATTAATCATTCATAAAAAATGTACTTTTATAAAGAGCTTAAAGTTGAAATCAAAATCATTGCAATTTTTGTTTTTTCATAACAATTAATATAATTACAATGAAATATCAAATGATCTCATTTGATATATTATTTAGTATTAGAATATATTGTTAATATACATTACATGTTTCAAATTTTGATTGTTATTTCGTTTGATAGTCGTGCATAAAAAAATTACGACTAGTTTTATCGTGAAACTACTAACAATTAGAAAAAAAAAAAAAGAAAAAGACAAGAAATTGCATATAATTAGATATAATTTATGGTGTAAGTTATGTTCCCTTAAGGACTGACAATAACACCCTTCGAGTCCTTGTTCACTCGACAAATGTTCAAGCAAAGTTTCTCTCGCTACCCATTAACCTATTTAACGATTTTACGTCCACGACTGTCTTTACGAAGACAAGCAATATTCGTTTATACATTCACGATATATATATGTATATATATATCACATACAAGAAAAAAAATGTCTTACTTTCATACCAATGATAATAATTATCATTTTGAAACGTATTCTCCTTGAATATTTTGCGTTCAAACTACTACTAACATTGCTGGCATGAAAACACTACTAAAAGTATTTTAATTCAACTTTCAGGATTGCTGTCAACAGTATACGCTTTTAATTATGCTAATAAAATTCTATATAAGTTTTCATAATAACGTTGTATTTTTTTAATTAGTTTCATAGGCGTGTTCTCTTTATTTTTTTTTTTTTTTTACGTATACGTATTTTCTTATTATGTCAGAAATGTTGGTGTAGTTGCAATGTAAAGAATTAAATATCTTTTAACATATACAGATCACTATATCCCGTTCACGTGCGACCATGCAACAACAACTTTAGTATATATATATATATATACCTTGAGTAAGATTTCAAGTCGAGATTTCAACTTGATCTAATTATTTAACACGTGACTCCTTCTATCCACGTTTTCCTCCACCCTTCTTTTTTCTACTTCTTATTATACCATTAGCTTTTAAACAGTTTTCATTCCGTAGTAAAATTATAAAGTTTTTTGCTTGATTAAACGCACGTTAGAGTTCCTTATCACATTCGTCTTTTCTTTTCTTTTTTTTTTTTTTTGCTTCACCCTTTAATTACTCCAGGTTGTTCTTTTATGATATAATAACTACGGTAGTGTGGTACCATGTTATAAGTAATTCATTCTTCAAGGACATCACTATCACGACGAATCCCCGTTATATTTATATTATTTTTACTTTTTTCTTCTTGTAATAAAAAAGAAATGCGCGATCTCAAACACAACGAACTCGAGCAAAATATAATTCTCAAATTTTTTCTCTTTTTTTTAAATTATTATTTTTTCTTCTCCTAATAAATATAAATTGTATTTTTGATATCGCGAATTTTGAAATTCTGAAATATCTATCTTGGAAATAGAAAAAAATGATACACACGTAAGGTAGACACGTAATAGTTGTAAATTTTGTATTTTCTTAACTGACTGGGAAGAAAGAAAAATGGAAAGAAAGAAAACGAGATAGATAAAGATAAATAGTGTAAAAAAAAACGTGAGATAGAAAATATATAAAGAGAATGAGCTTGCGTCCGTTTAGGATTGCGAGTCACGAGGCACTGACTAAAGTTATAAGACACATCCAGGCCAACGAGGGATCGAGCTTACAAGTTTGCAAGCTCAACTTATACGTCTCAGACACCCTCCACTCTACCCTCTCACAACCCTTTCTCATAACTATTATTCGTATTCTCTATTACGTAGTATTACAAAGCCCCCAACTATTTCCATCTCTTAAAACTTAACATAATAATATAATTCGTTATGCTTTTCATGTCGGTGGCTTCTCGTATTATAGCGTAATCATTATGAGAAACCCTGAAAACAATATACACGAAGCCAATTGATGTACAAAATGTTCAAAGAAAAATTAATACATTTAAATGTGATACCCCCATACGCAGGTGTTATTAGAAATTATATGATCTATTATATATCTAATATTTTTGCAATGTTAATAAAATATATTTGTTATGACGCGTGAAAGTGTTATAGAATAATTATTAATTTTTACTATTTATAGAAAATAATCGAATTTTCTTCTCTATATATGCATAAAATTGACCTAACTAATATTCGTCAATTTTCTACGAAGAGAACACACGTTCTCAATCGAACGATAACAAAACGATTATTCTTACTCGAGTATCGATCGAAAATCCGATCGAGCATAGAAACACAATGGTAATGCTACTTGAAATGTGAGAACCGTTGAAAATAGCTGATAAAATTGCATCGATAGGTGAACCTTGACCAAAAAGCAAACAGTGTCGTCATAGATAGCCGATCTATCCTAACAATAAGTAAAGCTACACGTATGTATACGTACAAACATATTCACCTGAACGTGAATATATTCGTGAGAAAGGTGCCGAACCTGCTATCATTCTCACGATTATTAAATAGATATATTATTAATCCCGATAAGAAAATCAAGGTCGTGTACGGGTTTAACCTTCTAAACTTAATCCACAAATATGCTACCTGTTATTATACAAAACATTTTCACGATTCATATTACACATTCGGTATACGTGTAATCATTTTCAAAAGGTAACAGTGAGAAACGTATAATCGTTTATCTTGAGAGATCATCGGACTACTTTCCATCGTTTTTCATTACTATAAGTATTCGAAAACGAGCTGTCTAATCGTTGAGAGGTATCATCAATCATGTTTGTAGTATATTTTGCATGGCAGTGGCTTTCTTTGAAAGATGTTATTAAGCTATATATATATTTATCGATCTTACGTCTAATGCTTATTCATGATTTCTAACACTTTGGTCTCATCAGATTTATTCGATCATTGATTTCTATAATAAGCGAGTTTAATATACCATTTAAATTTCTCGAAATTTCATTTTTATATTATACATTAACGTATGATTGTGTTAAAAGTATTTATAATTGATTATTTAATTTTTAAAATCAACTAGATATTTTTTAGATTTATTTGGGAACTTTTGATTCCTAATAATGATAATATATATATAACATAATTTATAATATAATCAATGTAAACACCTGATTGAGACGTGGAAGACATTATCCTTTAATTTTTCTTCATTTATACGCGCAAAAATACCCTGACAAAGTTTTGGCGTTAGTCCTGGATCATTCTGCGAAAAGAAAAAAGAAAAGAATTGGAAAGAAAAAATAACACACAAATTGTTTTTAATAAATATATGAAATATTTATTTACGTATTATTTTTGTTATACCTCTGTGCCCATAATAGTATAAGTCTTTCCGGATGCACTTTGTCCATAAGCAAGAAGACAAGAATTGTATCCTGAAAATATATCATTCAGGACAGTTTTACCAAGTTTATCGTAAATCTTCTCTTGATCAGCATAATTCTCTGATCCAGGATCGGTGGAATCAAAGCAGTAATCGAAACCATACTTTCGTGTACGTTCACGACTATCACCAGCTTTGTTCAACGAAACTTTCAGATTCGTTAATGATATCACATTTTGTTCGGTGTTGCAGACGATTACGTTCGATCTAGAATTCTTCGATTCCCTAAATAATCAATAAAATATATATATACAATAATCATAATGTATTCTCTAATTAAACTAAGCGATGAAATTTTATTAAACGATGATTTTTTTTTTATAAAAAAAAATATATATATTCTTGAATTGTAACGATGTTAATTGTAATACTGAATTAATTGTCAATGGAAATATATATATTAATTTTATGATTTAATTTGATATTACAATTATTTTGTATAATAAAAGAAATATTTTGACTTATCCTTCAAAAAGTTCGCTCGCGATCGATTAATATTTTATTTATTCTTGTATGCATTTTAAAAAAAAAAAAAAAAAAAGAAGTACCGAAACTGAACGCAATTATGAAAGTGATCTAATTGTAAGTCATATATTTTTTGGTTTCGAGATATTTTAAAGGATTACAAATGAATTCTATATAATATTGAAATAACAAACACTATCTAACGGGTTCATATTTGACAATATTACGAAAATTACATTGAATTAATTTAATATAAAATAATGTGTGGTGTGAAGATAATTAATAAATTAATTATTTCTTTTTAATTTTGACTCTTATAATTAAAACACTTTCATAATTATGTGCACAATTAATTACAATTGGATACGCATAATTAATTTCTTATCATATTTCTAACCGATCACATAAACACGGGTCAGTTTCGTATTATTCGATGAAAATTGATCGTGATTTTGTTCTTTATTTCTCTACCACTTCTAACAACCACGTCTGCTCGTCTAAGTATAGAAACGAAAACACTCCTCATAATAAAGACGGAGTCGGCCGTATGTTATCCGCATCTGTAGATATGACATCCTGTTTCCTTAGACTTTGAGTACAATACTTAAATCCGATTATTCAACACTTGGAATCGATTAAAATAAAATCATATGAATGTACTCACCGTGTTGAGATTGGTCTCACGCGAACAGCCACTTTAATGTTCGCCATATTGTCAGAGCTTGTTAATAAAACACTAATTGTCATTAATTCACATTGTAAACTCGTTTAAAACCTAATTTAACTATTGTTAATGGATGACAATTGGAGTATGTGTGTGTATACGAATGATTGAATGACTGTGATATTTATATGCGAGAGTGAAAGTGTATTCGAGTTAAATGTTAATTTTAATTCGAGATGTTGGGATTTTTTTTCTTTCTTTTTTTTTTTTTTTTTTTTAATGGATTTTTGAAAACACAGGTCAGACTATCCAGGTCGTTTTAAAGTGCATAAGAACGCGAAAAGGCAGAAAATGAAGGAACCGTGCGTGTTCGGGCCAAGTGCACGTGCTCTACTGCTGTGATGAAAATATCCACGAGAGAGACGCTCCAAAAGAACGTCATTCGTGCTTATGGTTTATCCCGGCCGGGATACTTGCTCGTTTTTACGATGCTCCATTTAAGAAGGAACTATTATAACCAATTGTTATCTTTTTTTTTTCCTTTTTCCTTTTTTCTTCCTTCCTATTTTTTCATTAAAGAGTCAAGTACAATCGTATAATTCATTTTCTACACCTTAAAACTTCTACTTGCTGAATAATAATGATATCATTATATATATACATATAATATATTAATCTTATTGGTATATTCATCTTAACATTCCAAATGTTAAACTATCACGAAGTTGACATAATCATCCAGTTTGATGTAGCCTTAACATTTACTACAAGTATATTTGATTTTTTATTCTTCATTAGTTGCTTGAAGTACTGTGAGATATGAAAATGATGTACTGAGAACCTTCAGAAATATATACATATATATATGTATATATGTATGTATATACAAGTTGAAAATAACGATTTGTAAGAATTTTATATGATTTTAATTTGTTTAACTCACCTTTGCGAAGCTTTCCAAAGACATATTATAAAATTTAGCGGCTGTTATTTTACATGGTATTCTGCATCGCATGATAATCGTTTGTAGAGTTGGCCCAAAGTTGTTGTTATACCATTCGCTTTCGTAAGCAGCATATCCTATAGCTTCGCTCTGTATTTATATATAATACACGTTTTATGTATAAATCGTTAATATATATATATATATATATATATATATATATGAATTTATCATATTCGACTATATTCGTTGCTATTATTTAAAAAGCAAAAAACAAAAGCACGCTATTTAATAAAGAAAAAAAAAATAATTAAATAATTTTTACCTCGTCGATTAATTTATTACCGCTATAACTAAATAGAAAAAGTTCCAGAATTGCAGAATTCAAAAAACAGGTATATTTTATTAGTTTAGCTTTATCTTCGATCATCTAAGATAACACACATACATACATACATACATACACATATATATATATAAATATAATAGAGAGATTGATTTTTATAAATTATTCAATTTATTGCGTTACGTTCAATGTATTATTATATATCAATTTAAATGATAACGAACCGCAGTTATTTGAAATCCTGCGAAACATACTAAACCGGTACTAATAATAAATTGTCCTAAGACCAAGATATTTATAACGTTTTCCAATGTATCGGCGAACCTATCTAAGAATAATTTTAATTAATATTAACAAAATATTATGATTAATTATTTTTCATATAAAAGATTATAATATTATAATGCAAAGTTTGTTGATGATATTATATTTGCGATGAAAAAAAGAACAGATCTGAAAAAAAAAAACAGAGAAAATGATTGAATCGGTGCTCACGTGATTGCATCCTGATGACTTTTAACGCACGCCGAAAGTTCGGCGTATGCGTTTCTATCGTTGCCCTTGATATTTTTCAATCTATTTTGCAAAATAGCGAATTTAGCTGAACCGTGCATAATAATAACGAGATTGAAAGTTGTAGCACCGGCTATGGTGGTGGCCGAAAAACAGCCGGATAAAATGTTGAAGGTATAAATTATCTCGAAGATCGGTGAAATCGTATGATTTACAAAGTAATGTCCACGAAATGGTAATATCCTAATATTTGTATTAAAGATGAATCCCTTTAAAAGAGAAAAACAAAAATTAAAAACAAAAAGGATAATCTTTAATGAATTTTTATTTAACTTCGAACGAAGTTTCTACCATTTCTTTTTATTTTTTTTTGTTATTAATTTTTATGATATATATAATTATATATATTTATATTTATTAATTGTTGTTAAAAATATACCTCTATGAGAGGAGCAGATATGAATATACAGATAGTACTAGCCACAGAAAATATGAACAATTTTGATAAACGAAACGTAAATAAACATTTATCCTTGAGTATTAAGATATCTTCATAGTTAGATAAAATCCAATCGTTTTTCATAGTTTCGACGATGTAAGAGATATCTTTGCGATGTAAAGAATAAATTGTTACTCGTAATAAACTGAGATAAAAGGCAGTACATAAGAGAGCACACTCGGTTGCTTCATTTAAATCGTCGATTGTATTTATTACTTCCATCGTGGTTGCAGTTGATATTACTATAATCTGTATATATTATATATATATTAAGAATTTTTATTTAATTATATATAATACTTTACATTTAAAAAAAAAAGAAAGTTATATTACATATTCAGGATATACCAAAAATTCCTTTGCAAAATTAAAAGCATTTAGATTTTGTTGTTGACATTTATTTATAATTATTATTTTTGATAACACAATAATTGAACATTCATATCTCGAGAAACGAAAAATAAAATATTATAATTGTATTTAAATATACAAATTTAGGGGGTTTCTAATTTTAGCAATTTTTGGGATACCCGTTTATATAAATAGATAAGATAAGATAATATTGATTATTTCTTACCAGAAAAAACATAGCAAAAGTGTGCAAGTTATGAAGTATTTTAGTTATCCTAGTAGAGTCTTTATCCAATGGCCAAACGGAAATAATTTTTGTTGTTATCATTATAGGTCTTATGAGTTTTTCGTATTGTTGAACGTTATAATATTGTGTGTTCATTTTTTCTTTCAAAATATATATATATATATCTTATAATTTATACGACAAAATATTTTCTATAATTTTTATTTCATAACTAACGCGCGTTAAGAAGAAAAAAAAAAGAAATATTCCAATATCAAAGTACTCGCGTTCCTTCCTATTATTTTTATTCTATTAAATAACCAATAAAGAAATCGAGAGAACGTTACTTGACGCACAAGGGGTATCTAACTCCCTACGAAAGTAATAGTAAAAAATATTATCTACAAAAGTATCCTGGAACGATTGTTCGTGCGTTAAATCGATACTGACACATATGTCATTTACGAGCACACTAAAATTAGACGCTTCAAACAATACCCCTAATCAAAGAAAGTGATACAAGAACTTTTCAAATGACCATATATTTTCTACGAAATTTTCTACACCATTTTCTCTACCATGCATATTTGATACCATAAAATTTAGTTACTTGTAAGGTAACATTTCCAGCATATTTCAAAGTGCTATCTTCATAAGAATAGTCTTCAAGCAACAATTGTTCTTCTCTAAAAACGGATATTGAACTTTTCGTCGACTTCTTTTTAGGATTAGGTCTATTAAGATAAGTTGACAGATTGATGGCATTGTCTCTCATGCTATTCTCATTCCCTATTTATTTATAACTATGCTCCGATACTCTACGCTCCTATCGAATGAATAACGTCGAAGATTGTATCCTATCTTACAATTAGATTAACTTACGATAGAACTATTATTTCAACTTAACGTCTATTCGTCTTAAAATTAAAAGAACGATTCTATTCAAAGAGAGAATAATAAATAAAACAAGTATATGTGTAATATATTAATAATAACGAATTGTATATTCATCAAATCCATTATCAATATAATATAATTCTATAATGCATTAATATATTCTACTTTTGAGATATATATAATCTTTGTATATAATAATTCGAATAATTAATTATATGACTAAATTAATTAAGCAACTACCCATATGCTTATAATATCTTAAAAGCAATAAACTGTATTCTATAGAATGGGGTTAGATACTAAAAACAATTAATTGATTATATGAGAAAAGAAAATTCTTTGGTGTTTCAAAAAAGAAAAAAAAGAAATCTATAAATAAATCATACTTTAGGGTATATTATTTTTCTTTTAAACTTACTTATTATTCTTATTATTCAGTAATCGTTTTTCGTTATATTGATATTCATTTTTCAATGCAAACCTGTACTTTTTCCGATCTCACATATATCAATGATTATGTTATTTATAATAAATGATAAAGATCATTATATACTTCTATTTCAGGTACGCGAATGATTTCATCCCTTTGACATGTTTCAAAACAAGCATCAGTGCAATCCTAAATTTCCACCAAGACCTTGTTCCTTTCTCCATTGAGCCAATCTTATAGCGTACCAATCCTAAAATATGTTTCTTTTATATTAGAAAATAAATGTCACATATATGTTTGGAGATGATTTTAATCAAATAATTATTTTTAAAAGAACCTGGACATCGTCTTCGGATAGACCTGTTTCAGCTGCCAACAGAACAATATCACCTGTGTGAGGTGCCCGTGGCCATCTTTTAAATTGATCCTCAAGTACAGCTTCCTGATATTCCGTTAAACGGATCGTTCGTGGAACAACTTTCCTTTGGGGTGAAAAGTTTCGAGTACTGCTGCTTCGTGGTACGAACTTTAACGTTCTTGCTATAAAATACACAAAATAATTATCAATCAATAATTTGTAATAAAATTAATTTTCATTTGTATGAAAATCATTTAACAATGATTATAATAAACGAAACAAAAAGTCTTGAAAACATCGATTTTTTTGTTGTAATTCAATACAGTTGAGGTTTACTTTTTAATCCTTCTATGTGATAAGCTCAAAACTTTTCATCCTATCCGTGTATATTTCTTTAATAATTTATTTTCTTTGTTTTTTTTTTAATTATTTGTTTTAATCGAATTACAAAAAATTTATTATTATATAAATATAGAATATATATTTATTTAGAACCCATACAATTGTGTAGAATTTAAAATTAATCTTAAAGGAATAATGTTTCTCGAGTGTATTTCGTTTTTTCTTTTCCTTTTCTTTTTTTTATTTCATTCGAGAAGATTAAATTTGTCCTTGAAAATTATAATGCAGTGATTACCAGTTTGTAATCCGCAAATAGTATTCATTCATTGCTGAGTAGATCACCTACGTAATATTTTAATACTCTTATTCATGTCATAATCATAATCTCCATTTCGTTTTGCTTCGTTACGGCATTCTTGCATTTTTCCGCGGATTAGTCACTGTATAATAGAGATGTAGTTCATTAAAAAAGAAAAAAAAACAAAAAAGAAAAATGCATAATCTACTTCTTTATTACGAGAGACATACACACACACACAAGAAATTTCTTTATATTGTATAATGGAACATTTAAAACGATAAAATTATCTAGAGAAGAAGAGCAGAAGAAAGAACACCGATTAAAAAATTAACAAATTTTATTATTAAAGGTGTATATGATTTTTTATTTACCTGGTTTAATCGATTTCTTTGCATCTTCCAAATTGATAGCAGTCGATCGATAATAAGCGTAATTATTATCGGAATTGTAATAATACGTTGATTGCCACGTGTTGCTTGGTGATGGTAACATTTTTCAAAAATATTATCTGAAATGCAAATCCCGAGTTACGAATATTAATCGTATAAAAATATTGAAGAAAAGAATAAAAAAAAAAGGGAACAAATAAATTGATTTGTTAAACACAATTCGATAAAATTAATTACCGTAAATATCATTTACGGGACCAAAAAAAAACAAGTTTGTTATTATCATTATCGTAAAAACGGGGTTTATATTACACGGCAAAAAGAAATAAGATATTAATAATAGCATGACATTGACCTAAATAACGTAATCCTTGAGTTATTTTATTTTGGATACGTTTCAAAATTATTATTGCGCTGTTTCAAGGCTTACGCAATTCGACAAAAAGACTGCACAAGATTTGAAATAACGATAAGTATTTTTGTCGACATTTTTTTTTTTTTTTAATTTATTTTCCTATATGTGGAGTAAAATTTTAAATGTTAATCTATGTAAATGCGTAGGTTAGTAAATTGCCTTGAAACGTTCGCAGAACATTAAGATAATGAGAAATAAACGTAGACTGATAATCTTTAATACCTGCACGATGAACTTGTCATTTTGTATACCTTTTTCATTCTTTTTTTTAT